TATTATTATGTAAATACGAAAAGCACCATGAGGTATATTGTTTATCAAGTTTCAACAGTTGGTAGCTTATGTTTGGCACTTGTTTGTTGTTGTTTATTATTATTATTATTAGGTTATTGTTAGTATTATTTTTTTATTTTATTATAATATTTTTATAATATATATTATAATAAATTTATAATATTATTTAATATTTATATTTAAATGTTAAATTTAGTACATTAAATAATATTTATTAATATTAAAGCAAACAAATTAAAATTAATGCACAAAGAAAAATCAGATCACAATTATACAAATTAGATTTGAATAACCATAATAATTATTATTAATTCTCAATATCATCTTCACTTTCAGTGGTACAATTTTCATCACTCATCTCATTTTCACTATCATCATTTATGAAACCAACACCAACATCATTAACTCTACCACTTGGCTCCACAAGTTAAACAACCTCTGGTTCCAAATCCACCCTACAAAGTTCTTCTTGTTCATTAACTTCCGCATCAATATGAAAACTAATTAATTCATCTGAATTATCAGCTTGATATGCGTCGTGCGTTGTCGATTGATCTTCCTCAACTTTATCGGGAATGTCGTACAAATGCCTATGTTGCACCTTCTGTATAACTTTCCGATTGGCCCCTAACTCAGGATCATCAATGTAGAAAACTTGTTCAGCTTGATATGGTAGCACATAAGGATCATCGCCATACCATTTGTGACTCACATTGATGCTTGTAAAGTGAAAGTCCCTTCACACCCATTTCTTTTTAGGGCCAGTGTCAAACCAAGTGCATTTAAACAAAATCACGCTTCTATCATAAATATAATTCACTTCAACAACTGAATCAAGAATTCTAGAAAATTCCATCCTCTCATCACCACCACCACCATTATCGTCATCTTCAAGTTCCTCATACACTAAGACACCACTATTTTGGATTGTGAGTCGATCATCACGATCTTTCACAATGAATCGTATTCCATCAACAATACAAGCAGTATATTTAGACATTCGTCTATCAAGCTTACATGCTAATGAATACAAATATTACTTAAGAAAAACCCAATGGGATAAAAATCTAAGTAAAGAAACTCATTTCTATGATGAATTATAAAGTGGTGTTAGACGTGCTTAATATTGTCTTATTAAAAACCTTGCTAGAAAAACCCAGTGGGACAAAACCTGGTCAAGGGAAAAAGAGTATAATGCAAATGTGTCCATTACAATAATCCTTTCCAAACTCCCCTTAACCGATGCTTCCCTTAGTCAATGCTCCCTTTCGTAATGACAAAATTAACTTAATTAGTCGCATACTAATGTCTAACACTAACTTCTAAAATTTTGTTGTCGATAAAGTCTTAGTGAATAAATCTACAAGATCATCACTAGGGTGTATTAGCTTGACATCAGTCTCTCGACTCTGCTAGAGTTTGATTATAAAAGGACTTTGATGAAATATGCTTAGTTTTGTTTCATTTGATATATCATCCTCTTACTTGAGGAATACATGATGCATTATCTTCATTTATAATTGCAAAAGTATCTGAGGTACATGGTAACTTGCATGTACTCTCGATATGATGGATGACAAATCTTATATACGTTCTCGGTTGACTTCATGAAGTGCAAGAATCTTAGAATGACTGAAAGATGCAGAAACCAATGTATGTTTTCTAGAGTGCCATGACATTGTTGTGCCATTGTAAGTAAAAAAATATCTTGTCTACAAGTGGATTTTATAGGGATTAGAAAGGTACCCAACATCTACATAGCCAACTAATTTAGGATCATGAACAAATTTCTTTAGATAGAATCATGCCAAGTCTTTTGTTCCACTAAGGTAATAAAAGATATGTTTGACCTCATTCCAATGTCAGCGAGTTGGTGCATAACTAAATCTTGCCAACAAATTTACTGCAAATGCTATATTCAGTCTCATACATTGTACCAATTACAGTAGTGCACCAATTGCGTTCAGATATGGTACTTCAAGACCAAGAATCTCTTCGTCATCTTAGGACGAAGTGGATCCTTCTTGGGAACAAGAGACCTAACAATCATAAGGGTACTCAAGAGGTGAGCCTTATCTATATTAAAGTGTTTTATGATTTGTTTAGTATAATTTGAAAGATGGATCAGTATTTTATTTGGCAACCCAGAGATACTGAATCAATTTCTAAATATTTTGTAAGTTTGGTCTTATTATACCACTACTACCGGAGAAGGTTTGATATATATATACTATTACAACAAGAGCATATCTTGAGGTTTAGGGAGAATATATCCTTTTAATGGTCATTCCATTGTTTTATAGGATCAACAAATCCTATATCCTGAGAAATTCAGCTCCCAGAATTCATTTAACGTGGTAGAAATAAATTAAGGATTTTACTTTATCCTACAAGGATAGGTAATTTTCTTTCCTGAATCTGCATCTTCTGGATGCATGTCATAGGATGCATTTCGGCATCCAAAAACAATAATAAAATGGGTTAATTATAAAGGAACGATAAATTGCATAAAAAATAAATAATAACGACAAATTGTGTACTAAAGAAAAATAAAAGAAAGCAATAATTGTGTATAAAAGAATAATAAATCAGTAAATAGAGTTAGAACTTTAGATTCTAATATAAAGCTTTGAAACTTAGAACTTCCAGTTCTAAATTTTAAGTTCTTTTGGCTTCAGGCATTTTATTATTATCATTTGTAAACTTCAGGTTTGCAATTATATAAGATCCGAACTTCATGCTCTAAAGTTTGGAAAATTAATTCTTATTAGTTAAACTTTAGTGTTTAGGACTTTAAGTTCCAAATCCATATATTGAAATCACAACACGGAACTTCAGGTTTTGACATTTAGAACTTCAGATTCTAAAGTAAAGTTTTAAATTTAAATTTACAGGTTCAGGTTGATGATTAGAGACTTATTCTTAGAACTCTAGGTTCATTTACCACTTCTATATACAAGCTTCTGGTTGCCATAATGTCTTGGTATCTCCAATAATATAATACAATAAAAAAATATAAATACATAATGCAATTAATACATTAGTGACAACATTACCAATATGTATTAAGAAATAAAGTCAATTGGTTAGTTCAGGAAACAGTTATTACAAATATAGTATTGTTAGGAACTAACAATATTTTCTTATTGAAAGATCCATTTTATGGAAACCATAGAACATATTCATAACGGTAGTTTTATCATATAATATATAATAAATGAATGAATAAAACCGTTATACTTACTAAGTGTGTTGTGCTAATAATGTATTAGAATTTTAGTGGTGTGATTGCCTAAAAATAAATTAAGGACTTAAAAGGAAAAGAGCATAATAAAAGGGACTGAAATGAGAAATCTTTTACAAACTCTTCTCTCAAAATGTGTTGTGTACAAATACAAGGAGAAGGGCCGTATTTATAGGCATTCATGACTGGCCAACCTCCCCAGCATCCAATAAGAGCAAGCCAAAGAGTAAGGCATGCGTTAATCACACATATTGACACATTCATAATAACATGTAGAAAGCCACCATTTATAACGTATGTCAAGATTTTCATTATTGTAGAGTTTTACGAACTATTTACCATAGATCTTAAATTTAATTATTTAAAATGCTTTTGTTAATTATAGAGATTTTAAAGTGGCTGAATCAATTTCCCACCCAAAGTTTGACAAATGTTCATTTTCCCACCCATGAACTCTGAAGAAAACATCTTCCCACCCATTGTCAATCTTCGTCAATGGAATTGTTACCTAACAAAGGTAAAACTACAAAAAAGACTATAATCCTCTATTCTATTTGAATTTATAATTTTTAACGAGGCTGAATAGTATTTTCCCACCCAAACTCTAGTTTGTTTTGTATTAATTTTAGGATTAGTAAAGTAAAAAGGAATAAAAATAAAGTCAGTTATTGAAATAAAAAATTTGATAAAAAAACAAAGCAATCAGCCAGAATCGCACCTAATGATTCTAGTTGAATCACAGTTGGCCGAATGCGGTTCATGATGAATTGCACCTGGATGGATGCCCTTCAGGCTAAATCGTACTAGGCTGGCTATGATTCTAGTCGAATTGCATCAGACCAGTAGCAATTCAGGACAAATTGCACCTAGGTGGGTGCGATATAGGCCGAATTGAACCCGGGTGGGTACGATTCCAACCAAATCACACCCATTTAGGTGCGATTCCGGCCAGCTAATTTTTTTTGTTTTCAGATATTTTTCTTTTTTCTACTATTTTTCAGTTTTTTTTCCTTTTTTTGGGAAATTATATTTTTTACAATTTCATAAAACATATACAATTTTAATGAAATATTACTTTGTAATTTTATAAATATTTAATTGAAAAATATAAATATTATTATCATTTTCAAAAATAATATATACAATTTTAAACTTATTTAGAAACACACATACTTTAAAAGTGAAATCTCCATTGCAATTACAGTAAATGAAGATAGTGGGTTTACAAAGCTAATTCCCAAGTTGGTGAAGGTAATGTTGTCCCTTTGAGCTATTATGGACAATTATATAAGAGTTACACATTTTTCTTAGTCCTTTCATATGTCCACCTGTGGCAGGACCTAATACCTTTGTTATAGCATCTTCTCTCAAATTACTTGGCGAAGGCAAATAAGAATCATTATCAATTTCTTGTAACTTTTCCTATAAATGCAAAACATTAGGATGTGCCCTTATATATATAGATGATATATATATATGATATATATATACTATATATATAAAGAGAGAGAGAGAGAGACTCGTTTTTCAAAGTAGAAGAAAATTCTTGCAATTGTTTCTACAGCCTTTGTGTTGACTGCCCCACCATTCTTTTTCTTATGCGCTTTAATCCAAAACTCAACTCTAGATATGGTTTGTTTTCCAGTTTTATTTTTTCTAACCAAAATAAAAATTATTATAAATGTTTAAACTCTTATTCATTTTAATCTTGAAATCATATAAAAACAATGAGACATTACGATATCCTCAATCATGTAGGCATATCCCCTTTGACCACCTGTTAATGGAGTATAATTTTTCCTCCTTTTTTGATTTCATCACTTTTATCTTGGAATAATTCAGTGATCTTATATCTAAAATAAAGTAAACATTACTCATATGCATATATAATATAATGACCAAATGTGTGCAGTGATATAATTACCTTAAACTTTGAACCTGTTTTTTCTTCCACAAACTTTTTCCATGCATTAATACTATTGATGTTATCAGGTTTGAGTGCCATTATTTCTTCTTCATTTTTGGCCATCTTAATTTTGCTAACCAGCCTTGACTTTGAAGCTCTCCAAAGTGCACCTATCTGCATAAACACATAGTGTTTCTGCCATTCTTCTTCCAACTTACATCTTTCCTAAGCTGTATAAGTAAATCGTTAGAACAAGCACCAATATATACACATATATATACACACACACATTAAGGAACTTGGAAATTCATACATAACCTGAACACATTTCCATAATATTTCTTTCATGTCAGAAGAACCTTTCTCCAATTAGAAAATGTATAAGGTACAATTTCTCACCCAAGAGATCCCAAGAATGAAGACAACTTGATAGATTCTTCCTCAATAGGCTGACCTTTGTCTTTGAATTTGACTTCAATCTGATTATCAACATTCAAAGCAATGTTCTTCATTTTAGTTGGACCTCTTTTTTTTTCTTACGCACACTTGTGGAATCCATAAGTACTTATCTTTTCTACAGAACCTACTAAACAAACAAAAGAAAGTTAATATGATATTTAGCTTACAATTAATTCTTAAGAAATTAATAAATGCAAAAAACCCCATTACTTGTAAACAAGGCACAACTAAAGTTGGAATAACAATTGAAATCAGTACAGTTGAAGCATAATAGGCAAAATACTCAATATCAAAATACTCAATACTCAACTTCATAATCCATTCTACCATTATCAAAATATAATCCAAAACCCAGTGAGAGCAACCTCATATATATGCCAATAAATAAATAAATAAATATCAACAAAAGAAAAATTTGAAGGATCCACAAACCGCTACATCCCACAACATGAGTTGCCAAGCTTATTATCTCACAACGAGTGGCCATTGTTCAACAATTCATACATTCATCTTCCATTGAAATAAATAAATAAATAAATGTTAAGCAACTGTCTTTGGGTAACATTTATTGTAACCCAACAAATAAAAATCAGTTCGCATTCTGTGTGAAAACATAGGTTGGTAGCAAAGTTTCAAACTTGGCAGCATTTGATTGACCATCAAAGGTTCTTATAGAAGCTTCATTTGGCTTCTAGAGGCAAGGATTTCAAGGATTCAAATTCACAAACAAGCAAAACAATGAATTTAAAAACGAAAAAAAAAAATCGCATGTATGTGCAACCGAAAGCGATTGATTAACAATTGGATTGCGTAATCGATTCAATTCAAGATTGAAAATTTTATAAAATTACAAACCTGAATCTGAGCCAAGGCCTAAAATTGCGAAATTTGAGCTAAAATAGCAAGAATAGATTTGGCTAAAATGGAGTGAAGATTCAAACCCTAAATAGAAATCACACTTTCAAGATGAAATTTGAGTGAAGATTGAGAAAATCTAATGTAGAATATGACTATTGAGATAAGGAACAATTGAAAAGGAAGTTTGCAGCTGAAATTTGGGTGAAGAACTGAATATTGTGAAAATGGAGTGAAGAAGATTCGAAGAAGTCGAGTGAAATTTTGGCAAATTTTGGGTTGGCGGGTATTAGATGTTAGTGAATAAAATTCAGAGAAATTTTGGGTGGGTAGGTATTAGGTGTTTTTTCCCGATTAATAATTGGGTATATGGTAACATTTTTAAGGTGTTATTGTATTTTTATTATATTGTAAGAAATTAAAAAAAAGAAAAAAAACTATTGTATTATTGGGCCTAACACTTTAAAAGTGCTACTGTAGATATATATTAGTAACATTTTAGAAATAAAGTTACCATTAATGGATAATAAGTTATAAAAAGATAAAGTGTTACTTATCAAAATTACTATCATAACATTTTCACAAGAAATGTTACCATATATATGTATTTAATAACATATTTAAAGAAAAGTGTTACTATCCAGGTTACCGTATGTCTTTTTTTTATTTTTGGTAGTGATAGTTTAGTTCATTTCAATCTCAAGAAGTAAACCTAGTCTAACCCTAACTACCAAACACAACCTTAGTGGCATATCATTTGCCTATTGTAATTATGGTTTTTAACACTATTTTCTACAACATTATTGAAATGAAGCATTTGTCTATATTGCAGTTACGGAGTTCATCTGATGGTGCGAGTTGCAAAGAGGTCAATGGTAGACGAGCTGGATCCTCAACCAGCAGGAAGATCTCTTTCAATGAGGAGAAGGATCTTTGACATGCCTCATGGTGTTATTTAGAAAGAAATTACAACAGGCGTTTGATGAGTGATGAAATGATATTTATATTTTGTGATTCTATGGGTAGATTATTTGAAATTCATTGACTTTAGGGATTATTTTTATGCAAGTTTCTTTATATATTTCTATTTTTAAGAATCACTGGTATGTGTATGAGTTTCAGGTACTCACACGATCGTTGGAGGCTTTGGATGTGCTAAAGAGAGAAACTGGATCATCAAGCAAAAGAAATAATGTGAAATTGCTGGATGGCGTCGCGACATGGTCTTTCTGTGCCGCAACATGGTTCTTTTGTGTCGCGACATGGTTTCTCTGTGCCGTGACGTGAAAAGATGATTTGGGGCAGAAAGTTTAAGCTGCGGCGTGAAGAAGTTGGTGTTGCGGCATGACAAAGCTTTAGGGTTGCGGAAGATTTTTGCGCCGCGGTGCCAAAAAATCATGCCACGACTAGATTGCGAGAAAAATAATAACCTCTTCTTTTCTAACTCTGACTTGAACTTGTATTTTCCCAAAAACACCCCTAGCAAAGGAAAAGTATAAATAAGACCTTATAATTTATTTTAGGGTCACTCTTTTGTTGGAGTTGTCGACTACTTCAGCATTATTGGGTAACGCAGACGCATTCGGGGGTCCTAAATTGGGTGAACCAGGGTAATTCATTCATTGTAAATGAGAGAGGTGAGGCATATTGCAATAATATTGACTTAACTGGATGTAGCTCACATTGGGTGAACCAGGGTAAATCGCGCTTGTTATTTTCTTTATTTACTGTTTGATTTGTTTTACTGTTATATTTTGTTCCTGTTGTTGCCTCTATTTTGTTCAATTGGTATCAGAGCCAGGTTTTGTTAGATTGTGATTTACAGATGGCGGGATCAAAGGTTGAGATTGAGAAGTTCAACGGCAAACGCTTCAAGCTTTGGAAACTGCGGATGGAGGATCTACTCATTGATAGGGCTCTGTGGGGTGCAATTGTGAATGATAGGCCGATAGTCGGGACTGTCGTTGTTATGACGAGTGAAACGTCTGGAACTACATTGTCAAGTACGCTTGGGTCTAAACCTGCAACGCCACCTGAAGGAGAATTATCAGCAACTAATTGTGCCGCACTTGCTGAATGGGACAAGATGGATCGGAAAGCCAAAGGTTTGATTCGCATTTGTCTTGAGGACTCTGTTCTAACGAATGTGATGGATCAAGATACGACTAAGGGTTTATGGCAGAAGCTGGAAAATATGTATCTAAGTAAGTCTTTGGTGAACGTGTTGTTCCGTCGCAAGAAACTCTATAATCTTCGAATGCATGATGGGGATTCTCTTGCTACACATCTGGATGAGTTTAGTACTCTGGTGAATCAACTGCTGGCTGTGGATGTACAACTCACCGAATATGAGAAAGTGGTAACATTGTTATGCTCGCTGCCTGATACGTGGGACAACCTGATTGTTGCGATTGGTGGTGGAGGATTGACACAGACGTCGTGGGAATCTGTATGTTCTATATTATTGGCAAACGATATGCGGCGAAGAGGTTCAGAGAGTTCGTCTAGGGATGCTTTAACTGCTAGGGGACGAAACCTTGATAGGAATTCTAATAAGTCTGGCGACAGGGGAAAGTTGCAAGGTAGATCTAAGAGCAAGGATAAAAGTAAGATTAAATGCTGGAGATGTCAGGAATTTGGGCATTTTAAGAAAGACTGTAGAAACAAACTGGTGAAGGGGAAGGAAGCTGAAACTTCGTACAAACGAGAATCAAATGGTGATATGTATGTGGTTGCTGCATGTATGGGTGGATCAGACCAATCAGTCTGGTATGTTGATACTGGTACGTCATTCCATATGACACCTCACAAGGAATGGTTTTGTCAGTATGAGACATACAATGGAGGAAACTTTTTGTTAGGAGATGATACTGTTATGAAGATTATTGGCCGCGGGAAAATCAGGCTGAGGTTGCATGATGGTTTAGTGAGGACGTTCCCTGAAGTGATGGACATCCCTGGTATGAGTAGAAATTTGCTCTCTATTGGAACAATGGCTGACGTAGGTATAGTATTCAATTGTGATAGAACATCCTGTAAGATGACTCGGGGATCTATGGTTACTGCACGAGGAGTTCGACATCGTACACTATGCAGGCTACATGCATCAGTTGTAAGAAATTCCTCTTTAGGTGGTTATGTTTCGGAAAAGGAGGCTGAAAAAGAAATTGATTCTGCAACATTGTGACATCAGCTAATAGGGCACATTGGAGAGATGGCTTTGTCTGCTTTGGTGACTCAGAATATGGCTGAAGGTATTCCTAACTGTTCCATGAGTTTTGGGTTTTGTGAGGAATGTTTACAAGGCAAGCATAATCGGGTTAGTTTTCAATCCACAAGCACGAGAGCAACAAAAATACTGGAGTTAATTCACAGTGACGTTTTTGGGCCCACTCCAGTGGAATCTATTGGTAAATCTAGGTATTATGCATCTTTCATTGATGATTTTTCTAGATATTGTTGGGTTTATTTCATGCGCAGCAAGTCTGAGGCTTTTGAGAAATTTCGGGGATTTAAAGCCTTAGTTGAGAATCAGTTTGACAAGAAGATTAAAGCTTTGTGAACTGATAATGGTGGTGACTTTTGCTCTAGTAAGTTTGGGCAATTTTGTGCGACACACGAAATTGCAAGGCAAAAAACTACACCTTACACGCCTCAGCAAAATGGAGTGGCTGAACGTCTCAATCGGTCACTGTTAGAGAAGGCTAGATGTATGCTGAATACGATAGATTTGGGGTCTGAATTTTGGGCTGAAGCTACCACAATGGCTTGTTATTTGAAGAATCAGTCACCCACTTCTTCTGTTAAAGACATGATGCCGTATGAAGCTTTGTATGGTAAGAAACCTAATCTCTCTTTTATTCGAGTTTTTGGTTGTGATGCATATGTTCATGTGCCAAAGGAGAAGATAAACAAACTTGATAGTAAATCTGAGAAGTGAAAGTTTGTGGGGTTCAAGGATGGCATCAAGGGATACAAGTTGTGGAATCTTGTGAGTAAAAGCATTATCTACAGCAGAGATGTAATCTTTAGAGAGGTAAAACAATGTGTGAGAACTCCTAAAGATCTTGAGCAGTCAAAGAAAATTCAGTTTGATGTGACTACAGTAGAGCAAGAGGAGGAGATGACTCCTAATGTTGCTGTAAAGACTAAAAATTTAGAGTCTACAGAATCTGACCATGAAGATAAACTTGATAGTGTGGCTGATGAGGGTTTTGTGGATGATTCAGAGGATGATTCTGATGATGAAGTTGTGGTGCCATCAACTTTGAGGAGATCTACAAGAGTTACAAAGGCACCAGTTCATTTCTCTTTTAATGCCTTGAGTGGATTACATGCTTTGAATGTGATTGGTGATGAACCTAGGAATGTAAATGAAGCAAGAGCCATGGAAGATGCAAATCTGTGGGAGGTTGCGATGAATGATGAGATGCAGTCACTGGACAAGAATAGTACATAGATCCTATGTAAATTGCCTAAGGATAGAAAGGCAATTGGTTGCAAGTGGGTTTCAAAAGAAAGTTGCAGGCAGATGAGACAATTGCAAAGTATAAGGCGAGGCTTGTTGCAAAGGGATTCTTGTAGATTAAGGGTGTTGATTATGTGAGATTTTCTCTCCTATGGCCAAGTTAACATCAATCAGGTATGTTCTATCTACTGTTGCTACGTATGATCTTGAAATTGAGCAACTTGATGTAAAGACGACATTCTTACATGGAGATTTAGAGGAGGAAATTTACATGAGGCAACCTGAGGGGTTTGTATGTAAAGGGAAGGAAGACTTGGTGTGTAGGTTGAGGAAGTCTCTGTATGGGCTTAAACAATCACCAAGGATGTGGTACCAAAAGTTCGACTCCTATGTTCTTCAGCATGGTTTTAGCCGCAGCAACGTGGATCACTGTGTGTACATAAAAAGGTTAGAAAATGTCTTTGTTATTTTAACCTTATATGTAGATGATATGTTGCTGATAGGGAATAGCAAGGAGTTGGTAAATTCTGTGAAGGGTTTGTTAGCTGCACAATTTGACATGAAGGATCTTGGGGCTGCAAATTTTATTTTGGGTATGCAAATTACTAGACATTGTCAGAGTTGTAAATTGTGGTTAGGGCAGAGAAAGTACATCGAGGAGGTATTGAAGAAATTTAACATGGTAGACTGCAAACCTGTGAAGACTTCTATGACTTTGGGAGTGAAATTGTCTACTGATCAGTGTCCTAACTCTGAGGAAGATGCTAAAGAAATGACACATGTGTCGTATGCAAGTGTTGTAGGTAGTTTGATGTATGCCATGGTGTGCACGCGACCTGATATTGCACAAGCAGTGGGAGTTTTGAGTCG